ATAAAATTTTGAATGCGAGTCAACAAACGAGATGATGTGGCCTTTCACCTGTGACCTGTTTCAAAAGGGTTAAACTAATATATGATCCAAATTACTATTATTAGTCATTCGCCAACCATTTGTGTAACTCACCAATAAATCCAAATCATAGTTTTAATATCTCATCCAAAAATACCTATGATTTTAATGTAATCAGTAAATTATTTTACTAAATATGCCCCTATAAGTGTCATTAAATTAAAAAAACAAAAAGCAAAACTGATCCCCGAGGAACATCATTAGTAACAAACATCTAGTTTGAATAAACTTGTATTTTTTAGCTCTCTCTCAACCAGCCACATGATCTAGTATTTCCACAGCTGACACTTGTGATTTTCTTAGCTAAGTTTCTGTGACCTTGACATATATCAAGCTATCCCACAACTACAAAAAGAAAAAGATTTCCTTCACCAGTAGAGGAATGATGAAAACTTTGCAGTCATTAGCAAGCATAAGAAAGCTTGAAGAAAAATATTAACAAAACAACAGATTTGCTCACAGAAGAAGAAAAAAAAAGCCCAGTTTTGATAGGTAATTGTGATGAACATATCATTAATCCATATCAAAACTTCAAAATTAATTTATTTGACTGTAAACTGTAAACGTAGCTATTTTAATATGAAAAGAAACTTTCAGCAACTACAGAAACACAGCTCGTTGTTCAACATTCTGTATTAAACTGCTGACTTGCTGAAACATTGTATGGATTTCCAAACTCAAATTCATTAAAAACTACCTAACTGAATGGACTGGCAACAATATTGATCAAACATGAAATTCCATAAACATTGTGCAATTTTCCATTAATTAAATTTCTGTAACTAGAAAGTTTTATTAAGTTTTAACTGTAAAATATCCTCTAACTTTAACAAATAAATGTTTTGCAATACTAAAATTTTTTGTACAACAGAAAATAAAATTGGAGTGGGGGAGCAGCAAATTGAAAGCTTCTATGAGATTGCAAGTTAGCTAACAGCATGTCTGTAAGTACTAGTTTATCATCATTATAAATTATTGTGAGAAAAAAAAAAGAGCTGGAGAATAAAATTATGTAGTTATGTAAAAATAATAAAAACAGATTATCTCTTAGAAACAATGCTCAACAATACTGAAAAACATTATTTTTGAAATGCAACAGGGAGCATCCTATTTTTAAAATAAGTTGTGATGCAAGTTTTAATGAGCACATTTTTTGATGTGAAAGTCTACATACATATACAATTTATTGCATTTGAATTAAAAACAACATGCAAGCAAAATTGAAAATATTCTAAAGTTAGAAAACACAATCTCGATAAAGGTTTCTTTAATTGCATCCTTTATTCAATAACAAATTTGGATACAAAATTAGCTATAAACATGATAAAGTATAAAAGAAATTTTAATGATTATATATAAATCAAAATGGTTATGAAACTTGAAACACAAATAAACTGTTACTTTTACCTATTTAGCTACAACTTAAACAAAACTTGCCAAAGCCACAGTCATTACACCAAAAACCTAATAAAAAAACTCATCATTATTGAATATGTTTATTTTCTGTACATTATAGTATATTGATATTTTCACAATTAATTATAATTGCAAACTATAAAAAATAGAACAGACAGAAAAGTTGTTATATAAATCCAGGTTAAATCTTTAGAATTGTTTTTTCTTGAAAAAAAGAAAACTTAAAAGTGATCTACTTGAAGTGCTTAAGATTTTTATAGAAATTGATAATGTCAATTCATTATCTTTTTGCATACTTAATACTAATAGTGGGAATGGTAGAACACAAGTATGATAGTTTTTTTGTTTTTTTTGTTTGTTTTTTTTTGTTTGTTTGTTTTTAGTTTAGTGTGGATAGCCCCTTGTGGTCCTTACAAATAATAATAAAAAAAGTTTCAACTTACCTAATACATCGGATGCTTTGTATTTTGCAATAAAACAAGCATCATCTCCAAACTGTCCTTTTCGTAAAAGTGAGGCTGAAAACCCAGACCAATCTTTCGGAAATCCACACGAAGCAGTTAATAATCGTATATCTCGTTCTCTTTTCGTACTACAAGTACTATTGCGTACGACGCAGCCGACTTCTGAAGAAGTAGTGTAGTTATACACACCGTTCAATAAAGCTCTTGTTAAAAATCTTCCATAAGTTACCACCGATTGCATACTCCCAGTCCTGGCATACATTTGGTCTAACTATGCACATATATTACGAAAAATTACATTTCAGCATCCTCAAACAACTGCAGGAATATAAATATTCTGTCTCCCATACATGTGAATATTCTAATCTATGAGATACTTCCCCTCTCTCCATGACCAAGGGCATCTGATAAATATATAAATTATATAAAAACTTAAATAAAAAAGACAGCAAAGAAGACTAAATTACAAGAGGATTAGAAAAAATGTTCCAAAATTTTTGTTATAGCTTCTATTCAAACACTTAGTCAATCTTCAACTACCAAAACCCGAAAGAATCATTACGTCGCAAATTTTAGTATTGTTTTACTGGAAGTTATTGTGCTATTTCAGCATCTGGTAAATATAAAAATTATATAAAAAACTTAAATAATAAGACAGCGAGGAAGATTAAATTACAAGAGAATTAGAAAAACTGTTCCAAATTTTTTGTTATAGCTTCAATTCAAACACTTAGTCAATCTTCAACTACCAAAACCCGAAAGAATCATTACATCGCAAATTTTGGTATTGTTTTACTGGAAGTTATTGTGCTATTTCAGGATGCACCGTTCAGTTAAGGAATTACTAAAATTATTCTTCTCCAGTGTGTAACAGGCGTACACACCATGGCAATTGTTGTTGTATCAAATGGCTTACATAAATGGTGTTCCCACCACTACTGTATTTGTTGTATCCTAACCAGCCTGAAGAGCTCTGGATTGAGAGAAACGCGTCGCCGGTAATAGACATGACAAATATTGTATTGTTGGAATATGATTCTTCTAATTCTTAAAAATCTCTAAGGGATTAGATAAAGAATGTGGTGTTTCAAATAGGCCTAATATTAATGTATTATGACAAGTGTATTTCTAATCATTCTTCGCCAGCGAGTTGAAAGCGTACATACCATAAAAATTTTAAAGTTTAGAAAAAAAAACTTTAAAGAAAAATACACATTACCTATACATACCTTTCTTCTCTCCTTTGGTATTTGTACTTATGGGAAAACTATCGTGATACATCCTCATTAGTTAATATTTAAATTTTTCGAAATTTGTGTCTTTTTGTTCAGTTTGGATGTAGAGTCACTCAAGTTAAACAATTAAACTTTATATATATGTGTATTATATTATATATTCTTAGATACACACGAGATGCGAACTCACCAATTAGCCGTGTTTCCTTACAAGAAAGAGAGCTTTTGATGTTTTGAAATATACGGCCCCTGGCCCGCCCTCCCCTGTGGGATTACCAGATAATGGCCAGAAACTGCCATGTTCTTGCTTTGGGATTGCAATCGGCGAAAGTCAGGTGTGTAAGTTGCATTTGTTAGTAAACCTGGCTTCTGTAACATTATGGTGTTTAATTTAATGCCAGCTTACCACCTGTTACTGGTAGGCAGATGTTGCAGAGATTTTAGACACAATGCAGAGTTTACACTTCAGTGACACTTTACTCACAAGATTTAAACTTATAATTATTTTTCGTTATTGCATTTCAAAATTAGCATTATTTTTATTTTACATTTAACTTCTTTTATAATGTATTGTTACGTCTCCGTTTGTTAATT